TGTTTTGTAACAGATACCGAATAACTAAATGTTTAAATTGTAATAATAAAATATAACAGATTATTTTACTAATATAATAAATTAAATCCGTGCTTAGTTGAATGGTCGAAATAATTGAAAAAATATGAATTACTTAGTTGAAACATTTAAAATTGATACTTTAATCATAACTATTGAAAGCATCCGATTCTTATTTCATCAATTTAAAATGTGGATAAGGATACTAATAGTTTAAATTTATAAAATTAACTTATTAATATACTGCTATTAGTAACCAAAACAATTACAAACAAAAAATTCCAGTTAAAACATTGGAGATTTTTGTCAAAAATCTCTAAATTTTGAGAAAATATGTAAAATATATAGAGAACCAAGAAAATGTAAATAGTGTTAAAAACTTAAAAATGTGGAATTCCAGTGAATTCCACCATTCCACATTTATATCTACCGGTGTATAGACTGGTATATTAGAACTCGCGTTGATACGCAGGTAATCACATTACAAATTATTAATCTCAAAATTTAAGTTTTAATTAGTTATCCGTTAAATTACAAAACTATTTTGAAATATTTTAAACATGGGTTTTAGACAATTAAATTTTAATTTATATCTTAATTCTCATGTCCTAATTCTCATGCATACCCAAAAATATTCTTACTCATTATGAATTTATATTAACTATATTATAAAATCTTATAATAATTAAAATGTTATAGAGTCAAATCATAAAATAAATAAATTTATGTGAATAATCTCATAAAATTTTATAAAATAATTTAGAATATTTTTATCAATCACTATATATAAATCTATGATTGATAAATGTCGTTGATGTCATCACTTTATCATTATAGAGATTTATACTCGTCACCTCTTATATTTTTGGATCTTAATATTAAACATATTTTATTATTTTATAATATGTAGAAATTTCATTTTATATCATTTCTTTTTTTAACATTGAAAAAGATAGGTAGAAGATTTTTATTTTCTTTTTAATATTTTATAACTATGTTTGCAAAAGAAATATGTTTATAGATATTTTTTTGTTTGGTATATTTGTGCATGTAAACTTTAACATTGAGATTTCCATATTCTTTCTATTTTTTTTTCAATTTATAAACTTACTTTTGTTTTATCATTCATATTTTTCTTAATTAAAATTTATAATTCATCGCTATTTTTTTTATTTTTTATTGTTTATAGTCTTTCTATTTTATTTTATAATTTTATTTTTACAATTTTTTGTAAACTACTATTAATTTTTGTCCTACACGTTTGGGACTATTGAACATATTTTTTTTTTTACTATTTGGTTAGTCTTGACAATTATTTTGTTTTTTTTTCTATTTCTAATTTATTTTTAATTAATTTTAAGTTTTAACATGTCATTATGATCAATATTGGACACGTATATCACGATCTAGCGAATTAAAATTTTGCTTACGTGTCAATTTACATCGTGCGTATACCCCTTTATATAATAAGAAATTATGCTTTTCTTCATAAATTCCTCTGCAGAACCAAAATTACCATTTAATCCTCGAGATCTTTTTATTAAAAAAAGTATGACTATTGTAGTATGTAGTAACTAGTATGTTTTAAGAGAATAGATTAAATAATATTCAAGAGTTATGAAATAGATTTGTTTAGAGAGTTTTTAGTCTTATTTCTAAAAACGAGGAGGTCATCCACTACACCATCTCCATTGATCGTACATATATGATTAGATCGTTTTATGAAAAAAAGGCTTTCGTATAATCTATAAAAATAAAAACTAAAATTTGCATATATGATCCATCCAAATTTTAATTTTTAATTACTATAAAATCCCTGGTTTCGAGTTTATATGACAGAGAAATGACTGTATGGCCCGACCTTTAAGTCTTCGATTAAGAAAATATAATTCCAAGATTCTATACGATTTAAAAGTTGATAAAGAGTTGGACAACTAGCTCGGCATTCCGCGACCCAACCACTGCGTAGTTCTCTAAAAGACGGTCTCTGAAAGATGATTGTCATGTCACAACGAGACAATGTCGGGATTGTGTATTTGTACCGAAATCAGGACTTCAAGAAGTGGGTCAAGGAGAAACATCTCATACATTCCAGAGTGTCGATAGGAATGTGGGAGTGTCCTCATCTCTTCCTGGTTTCCTTGACACAGGAGTCGGATGACATAGGTTCCAACAACACATGTACTCAAAGTAAGTTTGGACTTGACGAGGTACAAGTAGGGACTTATGATTATAAGAAGGAGCGATACGTACCGGACGGTGAGTCTTCAGATGGTTGGGATGGTCTGAGATATGACTATAGCAATTTTTACGCATCCAAGACCTTCTTTGACAAAAGAACAGAAGAATCTTGTGGGGGTTGGGTCAATGAATATGACACCTATGGAGATGAAATCAGGAAGGGCTGGGCAGTTATTCATGTATCAAATTAAACCAATTTGTTGTTTTTTCAATACATTTGAATGTCAGTTATATTGAATATGTTTGTTAATTATATCGTACAGGCAATACCGAGAACAATCTTGTATGCTTCAAGCAAGAAGCAACTCCTGTTTTGGCCCGTGGAAGAGATTGAGTCACTAAGAAGTGACTCAATGGGAATGAACAGCCTTGAAGTCAATACGGGTCAAAGGTTTGAAGTCAAAGGAATCACTCCTGCTCAAGCCGACGTGGAAGTGATATTTGAGATTGGAAGTCTCGAGAAAGCTGAGACTTTCGATCCGAGTTTCAAGCTCAAACCACTTGAGCTGTGTATGAGGAAAGGCTCCAATGTCACCGGCGGAGTAGGACCATTTGGTCTAATCACATTGGCCACTCCGGATTTAGAAGAATACACGCCGGTGTTTTTTAGAGTCTTCAAAGACCTTTCGACACGCAAGCCAAAGGTTGTTCATTCCCATTGAGTCACTTCTTAGTGACTCAATCTCTTCCACGGGCCAAAACAGGAGTTGCTTCTTGCTTGAAGCAATTGTTCTAGGTATTGCATGTACGATATAATTAACAAACATATTTCAATATAACTGACATTCAAATGTATTGACAAAACAACAAATTGGTTTGATTTGATACGTGAATACCATCCCACCCCTTCCTG